TTTCATGAAAACTTTCGTCATTTTTAGTTTTTTTTTATATCTAACATGAGTTTATATTTGTTTTTAATCGAAATATTCGGTTTGTATAGGAAGAAAAAGTCAAACGCTGCTAAATTTTAAATAAAAAAAAATGAATAAACCAGGAAAGTTGCGAACTTCAGATTGAAAGATACCTTGGTATTCAATATAGAATATTTTCAAATTTTATTTTTCTTTATCAAAACTCAATTTTTAGAACGAAACTTTTTGAATGAATAAAAACATTTATTATCTCAACAAGCATTTTAAATGCAGCTTAGTATTTTTGTAATATAATTGAATTAGTATGACACATGAATGACTCATTGAATAAAACGGTTCCATAAAATATCATCATAATAAAATTTTCTTCATCAAATAAATTACAGCTGTCATGATGACCTTATGTTCATAGAACATCATTTCAACTTTTTTATGCTTAAAAAAAAAACTGTTAGCAAATTTCCTATGGGATTAAAATGTAAAGCACGATGTAGCTGCTGTTGTTTATCACAAGAAGACTGCTCTATTTGTTCTATTTTGGGATACATGTCCTTAACATCCTTTTACTTAATCCTCAAGAAATGCAATAAGTAAGTAATTTGTATATTATAACAAGACTTTTATTCATATACGGTGTATGATTGTATTTCAACAACGCTTGTCACGGTCTCTCAATAAGAAAAGACGTTGCTATTGCTAAGGATGTCTGTCACGTCTGTGATAACTCATTGCTAAGATGTCTATCACGTCGGTAGGGCGGGGGTTCAAATTTCTAGCTTTATGTTTCAACACTCTTTGTAGATTATGTTTTTAAAAATAAATATGGCACTATGAGATAAAAAAGGAAAAAAGAGACAAATGACCATTATTGGATGATTTATATCTTTATTGAAAAAAATGTTTGGTTTTATAAGTTCTGTTGAAACCGTAACAACACGCACATGCACACACACACGGCAAAATAGGAAAAAAAGACAAATAAAGGCAAAAGTCAAATAATAAGATTTGAATGTTATAGGCATAGGGTTTTAAAAAAGCGTTATTTACAAATAAGTCTCTATGAGAAATAAAGAAAAGCCCCAAATAAATGAAAACAAAAAAAGAAAAACGAAAAAAATATTTTCATTCTCAATCAATAATTTCCACATAGTTCGATGGAAGTAAACCTTGTTGGCCTGTTTTAGGATTTCGACCTAACATCCAACCAGCATCAATTTGTTCACATTGAACAAGAACATCACCTTCAGAAAAACTAATTTCATCGGATTCAGCTGCAGTATATGAATAAAGTGCACGAACTTTCATCTAAATATTTGTTAAGTACAACATAAATTTTTTTTTTCGAGATAAATAATTAACCTGTGCTGATTGAGTATCACCATGTGAATGTTGTTCATGTTGATCATCATGATGAATATTATTTGATGCTGTTTGTTGTTCATTTTCATATTGATTATGTGAACTTCTATTTCCTGGTCCACTACTGTTATTATTATCAAATTTTGTGTTTAATTGAGCAGTAATATTTTTTTGATTCACGTCATATGCTATAATTAACAAATTAAAATATTTCCTTTACAATTTCTCCAAGATCAATATGTAAAACTAAAACATTCGAAGGAAGCTATAAATGCGAGATTCATTGAGTTGTGATCTAAGATAATATTCAATACATATCGTAAACTTAATCAAGTTTTTAGTAAAACTCTTTATATTCAAAAATGAAGATATGATCTTTATTTAAACTTGCATTTTAAATATTATAATTGAAGCCATCGGATCTGAATATAACAGACTTAGAGATGTGCCAAATCAATGTTTTATGGATCTTGATCTAGAGAAAACTATTTGAGAATTTATTTTCGTATCACATCTAAAAGAATTGTTCAATACTTGTGTTTTAATTTATTTAACTGACGACTAGCATTTTTTTGAGTTATTTCTTTTGAATTATGTTCTGATTCATATGATTTCTAAATTAATTCGCTTAAAGTCATAGAATATTTAACAACAAACTTCATTAGTTCAGATTGGGACAATATTTTTCTCGTAGTCCTAGTCTCGTACATCTCTAAACAGGCTATATGTAAAGTATGAATACGAAAAAAAGTTGAATCCAATGGCAGGAATGAATGATCACATCACACATTACTTTTATTTTATGGACTCATCGCTAGACAAACAGTTTATATAACTAGAGCCTAACCAAATTGATTCTATAGTTTTGTTGAAGACATGATATTCGATAATTTAAAATATTATCATATCTGATAACACATATATCATATTTGTTAAAATCTGATATACTTACTAGTAGAATGCATTGCTTTCGCTGTTGGTTCATAACCTCTTGCTAATGAACCACGATTATCATTTATCGGATCATAATCAGCAACTAGATATATTCAATAGAAAAAGAAATAACAACAAATAAGATGAACTTACCACGACCTACTGTTTGTTCAGATGTTTTGAAACCTCGATTGTTAGTATTATTTCCACTGGGTTGTTGAGTATTATCTTCAAAACACAAAATAAAAAAAACAACAGATTGTAACTGAATATATTTAATAATAAATGTATAAACCTTGAGCAAGCATTTGTGATGTACTATCTTTTCGTTTGCCCGTATATTCTGCTTGACTAACAATACGTTGCTGTTCTTTGGCTCGCATTAGTGCTGGATCATCAGCTACGACAGTAAATTTTCCTTTACTTTTATTAAAGTCTTCATGGTATTTGGCCTATCAAAAAAAAGAATGAAACTCATTTATTAAATATTTAAATTTTTCAAAAAGAAAGTTTAATACATTGCTTTGAATATCCGTAAGTAATCTAATACGTTGCATTTCTGGATTATCGGCAACAACAGTTGGCTTTGGTTGTGGATAATGTCTAAAAGAATTTTTTTTTATCAATTAAAAATTATTCATTTATTTTAACTTCATACGCATTGCAATATGGCGTTTTGTCATAACCTTTGACATTTTTGACATTAAGTGTCATTCCACACACTGTACATTTTAAACATCCTTTATGCCAAAACTAAAACAAAAACAAAAAAGGTTTTGTTTATCATACAATAAAAATAAATTTTTTGTCACTAGCAGGGAAAGAAATTCAGTCCTTCTAAAGGATACACAAAGACCCTCATTCACATAGAATGTTTTACATTGTAGGATTAAGCCAATTTGTGTATAATCAAGGCAATAAGCGAATAGAGTGTGTGTGTATCATGTAGAAGAACGAGAAATTCATGCATTATTTTCCATTGAACACTGATTGGCAAAGATAAAAACGTACAGGCAATGGATGAATATAATAGATTACCTTTTTGTCTAATGACAAAAACAAACAATGATTAATTTAGAGCTGAAGAATAGAAAAAACAAGAATTCATTGAAAAACTTACTTTATCAAGACATTTGATTTCTTCTGCTGGATAAACAACTTTTTCACATTTACCACACTTTTTATTTTGTCCAGTTGACATATTTGTTTTTGTTTTTGATATTAAAAAAAAAGGGGAAAAGATAAAATCTGAAGAGCAGAAAAAAAAATCTATGTTGTTTGAAGCAAAACACCAACAAATAACAGAGTAGAGTAGATCCTTTTTTTCCTTCATACTATTGATTAACCAATGAAAATAAACATGACAAATTTTTTATTTTGTTTTTCATTGTTCAATTCATTTTAGTCTTGATTAAAATTTAAAGAAAAGAAGTTAGAAGAGTATACAAAAAAGGATAAATTGTTTGTATAATCTTGAATATGATTCGTAAATCATACGACCAATGAACGTTCATTTCTTTTTGAAGCATGTAAAAAATTATTAGAGTTAGAATTGCATTAAATCTTACTTTCTATTCATTAACATCATTGTTTACTAGACCGACACATAAAGATCTACGAGAATATATATATATTTTAGATCGAATATATATTGTATCAATAAATGTCAAGATTGAAAAATAATCATTTAGAAACAAATCGTAGTTTTGGTCTACTACTAGATTTGTGTCAATATGTAGTTTTATCTGGTAAATTATTGTTTGCAATTTTGTGTGAAGTTTTCGATAGATTTAGTAACCTTGCAGAATAATATTTGGGCTATTTGTCAATCAACTATTGAGTAGCGTAGCCACGGATTTTCAGTTTGTGAATAATTTACTAGTTAAACTGTTTTGAGGAGTGGGTAGCGATGGACAAGTTTCCATATTATAAAAAATCCTTGAACAATAACACTTGGAGCATCTAGTTATTGCCATTATCTAAAAAAAAATCTATGAGCAGTGACCTTTCGAGCTGTGGATGGTTACCCAATGGTCGATGGTTGAATGTACTATTGCAATCATTTTTAATTAAAAATTAGAAAAAAAATATATTCTGTATCGTAGATAATGGTGAAAATGATGAGTACATGACGAATTCGGGATAATACAGATGTCTTTACATTAATCAGATATCTGTACACTAAAAGAATGTGTTATTAAACAAATTCTGATCTTCAACACACGTTCATAATGTTGTCATCGACTTCAGTGCTGCATATCAGTTTAATATACTAATAATATGTTGTATCAATGGCACTTTCTTTTGCTCGGTAACAACTCTACTTCTTATCTGTTAATTACAATAAACTTTGATTCATGAATTATCTTGTGAACATTTTAAATGAAGTATATCTTTTGTCATTAAGAAATATATGAATATTTATCTATTGGTCTTATTCAAATAAGATTTTCATTTTAGATTATGAAAGAATAACTATACGAATTTGTAGATATCTTTACTATTCATTTGCAAGAAAAATCGTAGCAAATCTCAAATATGTTGCTAACTTTTACTAAATTTCTGATTTTTGACAAAAATAATCTATGACAAATAATAAAAAAAGCAGAAATCAATGATTTACTTGTATGCATACTTGAAAATCGTCACCAAAAAATCAGATATTAGAAATGAAAAACGAGAAATATTATTTCGCTTATACTAGTATTTTTCCAGTTACAGTGGCATCTCAAGTTGTAGAAATTGAGACATATCTATTTTATAATGAGTATCCATTTGAGTTTTGCCACTCCTTGTTTAAAGGTACAGTTTTATGTAGATAGTGAATTTTTTTTTCTTAAAAGAAAGCGGTCTCAATATCGTTTGTGTCAGAAATTGTTTATTTTAAATAAAATCTTTCGTTTTTAAGATATGTTTTCTAATATCGTAAAACGGTTTTCGTCAACAATACGTCATTGTCAAATTGCTTCGTCATCATCATCATCATCTTTGTCAAAAAATTTTTCATATCGACAACATTTAGTTTCTGATTTATCTAATATAAATCTAGTTGATAGATCAGTATCTCTTCATGGATGGTTACAATATCGTCGTATGAATTCTTTTGGAGTTCTTCGTGATCATTCAGGTCTTATTCAATTTATTCTCCCATCATCAATGAAAGAAGAACGTCAAATTTTAAAACAAACACCTGTTGAATCATGTGTACATATTAAAGGAATACTTAAAAAACGACCTGAAAAAGATATTAATACAAATATGCCATTAGGTCATCTTGAAGTAAGTTGAATCAAATTTAATATGTAAATATAAAATGAAATTTAGATTCATGTAACCGATTTCAAAGTTATAAATGCTTGTTTACCTATATTACCACTTGATGTATCAAAATATCGTGAATCAGATGAATCAACACGTTTAATGTATCGTTATTTAGATTTTCGTCGTGATGTAATGCAAGAACGTATTCGTTTTCGTTCAGCATTTATTGCAAAAGTACGAGCATTTTTATTAAAACATTCATTTGTTGATATTGAAACTCCATCATTATTTCGACGTACACCTGGTGGAGCAAGAGAATTTATTGTTCCAACTCATTTACAAGAGGGTGGACTTTTTTATGCATTAACACAAAGTCCACAGCAATTTAAACAACTTTTAATGATGGGAGGATTTGATCGATATTTTCAAATAGCAAAATGTTTTCGAGATGAAACAGGTTTTTCTCTTGATTTTCATATCAAATTATGTGTAGAATCTTTCGTTGATACAATCTATTCTGTCATTGGAGAGAATTAAAAGTAGTCAATTAGAATTAGTTTTTCATAAATATATGTTCAGAATGTTTTCCTTTGATTTATAAGACTGTTTTACTGTGATTTAAAAAAAAATAGGATTTCTACCAAAGCAAAGTATGCTTCGAAGTTTCTTGACCAGTATTTCAAGATGTTTTGAATATTATTATTATTATTAACCATCCAATTTTCTATGAAACCATTGATTGAAAGCGACATTTATTTTCTGAAAGATTTTTCTTTACTCAAGGCGGTATTTTATCAGACATACCTCTCTTTTTTAAATTTCGATAAGTACACGATTTTTCGGTCCTTTATTATGAAAAATGAAATGAGAAGTGAATTCGAAATTTCCTACAACCAATTTTACTCTACAGACTAGCCTATATAAAGACTTGCTTATAGTTCGCATTGGAACAGTATAAATTGCGCATTACTGATTTGTACAGTTAACTTTCGAAAATTAGTCAACTGCGAAATTGATGTTTCTCTCTCATTGGGACAATTTCAAGAAAAATGAACACAACCACTAATTACGATTGAAGCTGATCCGAAACAGAAAAATTGGGTCTTCAATATCTGCATTGAAGTATATGCTCGTTATGAATCACTCTTCAATTGAAAAACTATTTTAAACAAATAGGCAGAAGAAAACATAAAACTCGATGTAAAATTGACTACTTTTTGATTGTCTTAAATGACTGAATATGTTGTGCAAAGAATTTTTAAACCAAGACTAATTAGTTATTTTTCTTTTAGGACGTCCTGATCGACAACCGGAATTTACTCAAATTGATTTAGAATTAAGTTTTGTTTCACGTGAAAATATTTTTTCTTTAGTTGAACAACTTCTAGTTGCATGCTGGTCTGATAAAGTTGAAAATGTTCCATTTCCTCGATTAACTTTTGCTGAATGTATGTCACGTTATGGAACAGATAAACCTGATACACGTTTTGAACTTGAAATAGAACATAATGGCGAACAACTTTCAATAACAAGTCCTATTTCTTTGAATGATACTAAAAATATAATCGATGATAATGATATACGATATGATAATAATAATAGAAAATTTCTATTAAATAAAACATATAATGAAGATGAATGTTTAATTAAAATGGGAAGATTACGTTTAAAATTAGCTGATGTACTTGAAAAACAACATAAAATTGAATTAAGAAAAAGACGTCAATGGAATTTTTTATGGGTAACTGATTTTCCATTATTTACACCCATGGCAGATGATCGGACAAGATTTGAATCAACTCATCATCCATTTACAGCACCTATTGACGAACATTTATCACTTTTATCATCGAAAAAAGATTGGTCACGTATTATAGGTCAACATTATGATCTTGTTTTAAATGGTTTTGAAGTTGCTGGTGGTTCAATTAGAATTTATGATTCATTTATACAACGTTTTATTCTTCATGATGTTCTTAATTTACAAGTCGAACATTTAGAACATTTATTAAAAGCACTTGAATATGGTGCACCACCACATGGTGGCATTGCACTTGGTTTAGATCGTTTACTTGCTCTAGTACTTGAAACAGAACATATTCGAGATGTTATAGCTTTTCCAAAGACAAGTAATGGAAAAGATCTTATGGCTCAAGCACCTAGTCCAGTTGACCAATCAGAATTAGATTATTACTTTTTACAAATAAAAAAAACCCATAGCTGAACGATAAACAACATTACTGATTAGGCTAATAAATTATTTCGTTTTTTTTTTGTTTTAGATATTTTATTTTAATTTTATTTTCAAATATAATTCAAACAATAAATCAATCAAAATAAATAATTGAATTGCTCAATGCTAGAAAAAATTAGAAAAAACTCTGGACAAATTCTTCGTTATTTTTAAAGAATGACATGAAGGTTTTTTATAGATATTTTTTATTGTAATGATGTCTTTTGTTTAAGTTTTTAGACATGTCATCATTGAATTATGCTTAATTTGTATTTGATAATGTAAATAAATAAAGAAAATCGAATGAAGTGGATGTGTCATTTATTGGATGTTTTGATAAATATTGAATGATGTATGTTTGTTTGAGAGAAATTCCATTGTTATTAATTGAAAATATTTATCAGTCGATTATTACATATACGATAAATATATTATACTCAAAATTCTTGTTGTTAATATGTCATCAGCAATTGTATTTATCATTTACTAAAGATAATTTTTTGAGCAATTCATCGAGAAATAAGGACTTTTTGAAAATTATATGTATTTTCACACAGAATAATGAGTGTAAGTTTAAATCGAGGGTTTTGCAGCTCCCGCTTTATTAGATCCTAGCGACT